TACCCGTTGATAACATCGTTGTGGCAGTTTACTGTCATGCCAAGGACAGGTAATTTTGGTTTGATTATTGTAACAGTAGGTTTGTTTCGCAATAAATACGCGCGTTTTATTTGTTTTGTCTTTAACCGTGCTGCTCTTCGCTGCCACCACGAGGTGGCAGTAAGTCAAGTGGGGTGGTGCTTAAACGGAACAACTGTTCAGGGCTTTATTAATATGCCTCTCCGTTTCCACGTTTGCCATCTACTACGTTAGTAAACGTCAACTCTCGTTCGCGTTTTTTAGTTGAGGTGGTTACATCAGGCAGGCCAAGGACAGAAAAAATTTTACCCGTGCCGTATTTGCACATTATTTATCCGTACCCCTTTTCTGTGTCGCGTCTCCAACAATTGCAGGAAACAGAAATTTGCCTTATTGATATCAAAATTTTAGATTCAATTTCAGTAACTCGCCCCTTAAAAAGTTATCTTATTATTGTATAAACTAAAGAAAAAAATTCTAATTTTAGTAACACTTCCTTAAACTTATCGGCAGTATAGCTTTTAGTCCTTTACGATTATCGGCTCGTTTGCCTGTTACTGTCGCTCCTAAACGGTATATTTACTTCTTTATATACGTATCTTGCTTACCCTCTGTTTATTTTGTTGTCTTTTAAAGAGACACTGTTTATTGTCCGGTGCCCGTCCACTCACTGCTGCCTAAGCTTGAAGAAACACATATCGGTATTAACGATAAAGTGACAATGAAGAAATTTTTGTATACTGAATGCGAAAATGGCTGAGGACGTTATAATCTTTCGAACAAAGTTTTTACGACACTTTTAACGGTTATTTGTCACTATGATATACTCCATTGTTATATCGGTAGCTTTCTTGGTTTGTTTTTGTGATAGAACGCTATAAATCAAAGTGCATGTAAGTTAACTTGCGTATTTTTTTACATTGTGTTTATATTCAAGCTATACGTTTCGATCGCTTTAATAGGATATAATGCAGCAATCTTTTTGGTGTCTTTTACGATGATCATATTTGAGAGCCAAGGACTTGGGATGACCGAAAATCATACAAACTTTGATACAAAAAAAGACGAAAATATCCAACTTATAAGGCATATGTCTTCGAACTTGTAGCTTGAGATTGAATTAATTCAAGTGACGTATCAATTTTTACAAGTTTTGGTTCTGATCAATGTACTTTTTAACAAATGATGGGTTTTGAATTAATAAGTTGCTTTTGTTTAGACGCTCAGCGATAACGAAGGACAATATAATTCAAATCTTAATAGAGTTTGAGTCTACGGTTTTACTAAAAACGCTTATCAATACTGCGGGTTTGATGTACATGGGTACTTTTCGGAATCACAAAGTTTGTATCATGTCATTCTAAACCACTCTCTCTTATCCTTCTCTCATAAAATATATTCATCTTATTTACTTAGGATCAGGCTAGCTCACAGCTATCGAATTACAAAGTTGTTAGGAATAAAATATCGCTCTGCAATTGTAGAAAAATAATTAAGAATCACGTTATTATTTCATCTCCCGATGAAATCATTTGAGTGAGGCCATGCCATGTGCACTATGAGAATTAATAAACACTCCAAGATTTTATATGTGTCGAACGTAAGCCTTAGTAGAAAATGGGCTCACGAGCATCACAGATTGAAGGTTTCATGTTCAAAGTGAATCATTGCGTAGTAGATTTGCTGCTGGAGAAATTGCGTGGTTTGCGATATTTATTCGCATCTTAAAATCATAGCATTGGTCTTTATACGACTGACCAAAGAGTCTGAATTGCTATAGTAACAGTTGTTACGCTCCTAGACATTACCCTCTTCAGAGTAAACCAAAGACAAGGTATTTGTACGTTTCACGACAGTACTAAAAAAGCAGGCAGGCAATTGGTAAGTGGCGCTCGACAATTTTGGTGTTATTTTAACGATTATCAACTAATTTATCTTCATATTTGTTCACAGACTCATAGATGTTGCAATTACAAGTACCTTTAGGACAAACTGTTCAAGTGTGTAACGCTTGATCTTTGGGTCGATTACCGTACGTTTTATAAATTATACTGTCGAATGATGGTGAAAAATAAAGTACAGTTGGATCGAGCAATATTGCTAAAGGTATTGGGTGACTTGGATCATCTTGGAATTGTCAAACTCAGATCATAATAGTTGCTAATTATTGCTGCAAACCCAACCTAAGTGCTACAATTGAAACGAGGGACGTTGTCATAGAACAAATCCTACGCGTTATACAGTATCTTTGAAATAACAAATAGATGGAATTTGCATTGGCGTCTGATTGATTTTCTAAACCAATTTTGTCGACAAAGTGTTATCTGTAGATTTGTTGTAATGTGTCCGCGCGAGCGAATGGTTAATGATCTTGAATTGAAACTTAGCTCGTTAACTCTAAGAAGCCTTTCCTTCGATCGTAGATGCCAGTTTCTTGACACGTAAGTAATACGATCTTAAAAATAATGTGGATGTAATGAGAATTCGCCACAGTACTGACTGACACGTTTGATACGTCGAAATGTGCTTTAACAATGTCCACTTAACGTGTTGGTGGAATGTCTAAGTATGATATTATTATTTATCACACGTAATTCACATGTTCGAATAATTAACCAATTTTATGTTTTGCCTTGCAAATCTATGCATGCAAATATGCAAATGGCTACTTCATATTTTTAGCTCCAAAGTTTGGTAGCATGTAAGCATAATTTTTCTTATTGGGTAAGTTGTAGTGCGAATTGCATGAAAAACCACATATACTCAAAGTAATTCGAAATAATAAATTAATAAGCCGGAAGTTTAAAAACCAAGATGAGTGCATTAGCCTTATTAAAAGTATAAAGCTAGGAAACAAGATAACGGAAATCTGAAAAACAAAAGATAACTAGCATTGTATATCGGTAGAAACGATAACCAATTGTTTATAGAGAGAGGCTTTATGAGTACCACGTCTTAAGATGCTTTTCGACATTTATAATCTTCGATTACCTACAGACAAACATTTCGGTTTTCATATATCGAAACAGAGATTCCAATAAGATTTAGAATATGCGATTTGAATAGTTGTTTGTAATATATTATATACAATATTTTACACTACATATTTCTTAGAAGCAATAATATTATTATGCTTGAATTATCTTCGACAAGTTATCTAGCCAATTTAATCATAGCGAGAAAGCATATATAGTGCTTACAATGTGGTAAACATAATTAGATTTCATTCTTTATTAGTATACTTGATCTATTAAAATTGAACTCTTAAATCTCTTGTGCATGTTATAATGCCTGCTAATAATATTTTAAAGAAAGTTGTTTGTGGGAGACACAAACTTGTATTTGTTATAGAGGAAAAGGTATTGTACAACGTTTTTTAGCTCTGTAACTTCTCCCGGCCAAGTTTCCACACAGTTTCTCACTCCCACGGTATAATATGTAACTACTATTTTGAGAAATTTCTATTCACAACAACAATAATAATGACAGCTACGACTAAAACATTGTACGATTTCAATGGTCTTGACATGCAAAATTATTTAGAATTAAGATAGAATATTAAACAAATAGTAACATAGACGTTTTACAAAGTCCGTGACAGTAATTTGTGGAAGCAATATTATTACGGTCTTGTAGCCCGCTTTTTTAATCGTCGTTGGATTATTATCAATAAATTTTTGTCAACGACCAGTTCGAGTAAGTTTTGAGAAAAATTACCAAAGGCCCTTTTCCATTCCATTCTCTTTATATTTAGCTGTTATAATCATCTCGATAAGAGCTAATTATAGAGCAAATTTTTACAGTAAGTGTCGAATACTTGATATTGTCGCACTATAAAAACCTTTATTATTATGGTAGCCTTTTCTCAAAACTTTGTATTGATTGCTTCTTGGGCTCTGAGGAGTAAAACTGGAAGGAACTATACAAAACCCGACTTATCATGGTTTCATGCAAATTGTCGAAATGTTGATAGTATTACAGTAATCAGTAATTTATCCAAGAAAAATATTTCCTTTTTCACCGAAATTTCACCCCAACTTTTCTATTTGTCGGATTATATTACCCTAGAAAAAAAGAAGTAATTGTCGGATAATATTATATTGTCATTGCAGGTAAACCACAATTTAGTCGGGGGATCAATTTTTGTTTTATCGATTGCTGCTAATAGGTATAAACATGTTTGATCGCAAGGGAAAGAACGTAAATGGTGCAATAAATAGTCTTCTTTCCTCAGAATTGGCCCTTCAAGTCACAACGGCTGTACAGCACCGACCCGCAGCGCTACGAGATACTCTCCAACAGCGGATTATGCACGCGATCAGTATTACAATGATCCATATTATGACGATCGTGGTAGCAATCCGTTTGCCACTCCACAACATTTTCGTCCAATGTCATTTCTCGGCTCGTTAAACAATTTTCCTTTTTTTCCTCATTCGGCTAATTTGGGCTGTAACATCCGAGCAATTCATATAATTAGTTTAGTATTAATTGGTAAAAGATTCCTACAGGTGCGCCACTAATCTGCAGTCAGCCGGTTAACCTTTCGGCTGAATATCTTTCTCTGGATGTCTTTCTTTGTTAACCATCCTTTGTGTTTCTGAGAGAGAAAAAATAATCAATTCCAATGCAAGACAATGTCCTTTCCGGCTTCAAAGAAGCAATATTCGGTTAAGACTGCCAGAAACAACATCTTTGGTGTTACTGATCAATTAGATATAACTTGATGCAAGCTGCAGACGCTGATCCGCTGCTGCTGCTGCTTGCTGCTGCTGCAAGCAATGATGAGATTAAGTTGATACACGGTTCGTCATCCAATTATTATGGGAATCTGTGACACTCCTGTTGTACAATGGTGACCAATAGCATCGGGCGGAAGTTCGAGTGAAATTTCCTTGTGGCACAGCCTGACATGCCATATAAAAGAACTACCTCTTATTCCTCGACAACAATGGCCTATATTCATAACAAGCCTAGTCAGTATGAGCGATCACGAAACTGCTGGTAATGGAGGAGTTGATGACGATTTGTCACTTCCCAAGGGTAAGTTGCTGTCGTGGGATCTTGACGGGTCTCAACAAGAGTATCTCCGAATGGCCAAAAGTCATAAGAACACGCTAGTAAAGAAGCCGTTCATTGTGATCAACCATTTTGGAAGCAAAAATTTCGAACTGACTCGATAAACTTGTGACATAGCAACTGTGCAGAAGCTCATTGCCGAAATGTTACCATCCGATATTGTATGTGCAAGGGATACTCGCGACTTGTTAATTGACTGCTGTGTTGGTATGTATTTGGCATTACGAAAGGTTTGCTTCTTGAAGACGTTAAAACTTTGGATTAACATCAACAGGCATTCTCTGACTATTCTCTTATTGTTTTAGAATTTATTCACCTGATTGCATCTGAAGCAAACGAAATATGCGAGAAAGAAACAAAAAAGACCATAGCTGCCGAACATGTACTCTCCGCTTTGAGGGTGAGTCCGCAATGTTATGACATTATTGAAACGTATTCGGAAAAGATCCGTGACCTGATTCTTTCGTTACCTGAATTGACCAGACACTAGGGTTCGAGAGCTATCTGGACGAAGTTCAGGACGTTTACAAAGAACACAAGAAAATGCAAAAGGTATTCATTATATTAAAATCAAGTTTTGCGTCTCTTCGCCACCACACGGTTCTTACATTGTAAAATTTGTTTTCAATAGGACCGCGAAAGAAAAAGCTCTCGCCTAGAGAACTCCGGAATGACCGAAGAGGAGCTTTTACGACAGCAAGAACTACTCTTTGAACAATCACGGCAGAAGTATCAATCCAGTATATCCTCTAACAATTATTAATTAACTAATTAAATAAAAAATTCCGCAAAAAGATTGATGAAGTCAAAGCGGTCAAAGCAGAGCTTGCCCAATGCCGAAAATAATTATAATTCTAACAAATTTATGGTTTCGGTTCGATGTAGAATAGTCATGGAAAATTTGTTATTTATGTTCGAGTAGTGTGTCTTTGCTTGATGTTGTCTAATTGTGTTTACTATTATTTGGGGCAAGTTAAAGTGCAACAACAAAATAAACATTCAATCGCTATCAAGTGGATTGATAAATCTTAAAGCATAATCAATTAACTCTGTCTCACATGTTATCTTCTTCTTTGTTGCTTTCTTGCTAATACTCATGCTCTTTGACAGTGTAAATATCGGAGGCTTGGAAATACTACAGAAACAGCTTTTCAATGCTTCAATGTATTGTCATCGACGGATAGGTTAAAATAAAGGGTGTGATGCTTCACAAGGTTGTGATATAAACATTGAAAAAGGAACAATGCTATATAAAACTAGTCGAGCTGACGCAAAATAGTCTTAACATGAATGGGCCAGAAACAATTCTAGCTATAAAACCTTTAGTGAGGACAGTCTGACGCGCATTTCAAGATTTTGGGATTCCGAAGAAAAAGCTGTCCTCGTTGGTGTCACCCAGTCAATTTCTGTAATAGTAATGACATTTCAGAATTAAAACACGTGATCGATACAAAATTTTATTAGAATTCGAGATGTCATTCATTTCCAGCGTCTCTGCTATGAAATCACAGCAACCGAGCCGGAAACCGACTATTAAAGGTCGCGCTAATGTTCGCGGTGTACTTAAAAAGACATCTACAGAGAGTCGTCAAGCCAAAAGAGTTAGATTTGTCGGTATTAACAATGGAGATACGGAAGACGAAGAAGAAACAAGTGATGACTTGGATAGCGAAGATGACAATGATTACGAATTTTATAAATATTTTCGAAATTACGAAGACGATGAAGACGATGAAGACGATGAAGACGATGAAGGCGATGAAGACGATGAAGATTATGTAGATTATGGATACGAAGAAGTTGAAAAAGGTGACAATGCTAATGAAGATGAAGATGAGAATGACGAGGATGATAATAATAGTGACGATGACGACGACGACGACGACGCCGAGGAGGTGGTGGTTGGGGATATTGATAATGATAATGATAATGACGAGGATGATAATGATAATAGTGACGACGACGACGACGACGAGGAGGAGGAGAATGATGATGATGACACTAAAATTGATAAACTCGGAAGCTTAATCAATTCTCTGTCTAGAAAACGAAAGCGTGACAATGACCCAGAAGAGAAGAGAAAAAAGCATGTCAAAGAGCGAACTGAGACATATAATGAATCCGAGTACAATCTTTCAACACGCAACGCACAGACCAACGTAAAGAAATTAAATCTTCAAGATCTCGTTGGGACTATACAAAATGAAGCAGGCTTTACAGGATTAAAGAAATCATTATTAATGTTCGAGAATAGTGATAAGAAAGGGGCTATCAAAGGTCCACTAGCTGCTCCATTACCAAAGCGAATCAAGGACAGATTGAATAGAGAAGCCGCATATGAACAAACAAAGAAGGATATTTCAAAATGGGAGACTATAGTGAAAGAGAATCGCAAAAAGGAGCACCTAGAATTCCCAATGAATGCACAACCGTCTCATCAGATATCTACTAGTCAATTAGTTAGCTCGTTTAAGGCAACCACGCCATTAGAGAAGCAAATTGAAAAAGCACTTGTCGAAAGCGGTGTGGAGGAAAAAAATCTTCAAAAATATGAAGAGCTTCAGTTAAATAAATTGTCCGTCGACGAAGTGCTAGCTCGTCAAAGAGAACTACGTCGCATGCGCGAACTGGCGTTCCGTGCGGAAATCAAAGCCAAACGCATAGCCAAGATAAAAAGCAAAGCCTACCGCAAAATTCGAAAGAAAGAAAGAGAGAAAAATCAATTTCTTCTAGAACAATTTACCGAGCCAGATGATGATATTACACAGCAAAAGAAACTCAAGCTAGAAACCGCTCGTGCCGAGGAACGGATGACACTGAAACATAAAAACAGCAGCAAGTGGGCTAAGCAAGCGTTAAAACACGGCCGGAATAATCAGGAAAGTCGTCAGGCAATCGTAGAGCAGCTGCAGAGGCACGAGGCGTTAACACGTAAAATTCATGGAATTGGTTCGGAGGATGAGGAAAGTGAAGATGAATATAGTGATATCGAAGATGGTGATGTTGAAGCAGTTAGGAAAAGAGCATTAGAAGAGCTTGAACAGATTGAGGAAGATGTGATCAGGGAGCCGGTCAAGGGTGTATTTGCTATGAAGTTTATGACCGAGGCAGCTAAACGGCAAGAAGAACAAGCTATGTCGGCACTAGATGATCTTAGGAGGAGTTTGGAGAATGAAGAAATTAGTGATGTTGATGGCGATAATGATAAAAAGGAAGAAAAGCAAAAATCGACAGTAATAAAAGTTGGTGGTAATCCAGGCAGAATGATATTTAGAACAAACGTTGAGGTGAGTTACAGTGAATGTTTGGGATTAATTACGTATAATGCTGACGGGCTGATGATAGTTATTGATCTCATTCTTACTGTTAGGGCGCGGATCAAGCGAACGATAATTCGATAATAAATAACGTCGTGGAAGAGGTCAGTATGATGAACGGTTTATACTATACCATAGCACAATATGTTAATTCTCATTATTTCGTAGGTGGACGTATTCACCCAAATCGACAAGTCTCAAGGAAAGAATTTTGCACAGATAATAACAAGCTTCGAGTCGATTGAGACAAATTCCAAGTCTGATAACGACGAAGCGGAAGAAGAATCTAACCCTTGGCTACAGACAGACACGTCAAAAGTCGCTACCTCAAGTAAGAAGTCAAATAAAGGTCTCGGTAAAGACTCCAACAAATACGACAAGATGGTGACTAAACTAAAAAGAAAGTCACGGGAGGAGAAAGAAGAAGACGTCGAGATTGACATGGACAATGTGTTGACTATGGAGCCACCAAAAGAGAAAGAGAAAGGTATGGTTTTTTCATCAGGCGTTGATAATTAATATTACTCGTAAGAAGAGCACGGCCTCATTGATCATTTGTTGTACGTTTAAAGATTCTGCAAAGAAAAAGAAGAAAAGAAAGAAAAGAAAGACAAAAAAGCAGCAAGGGAATAATCAAGATACCCAAACTTCAGAGAATGCTAATGGCAATATAAACACGACCAACATTGGTGAGGACGAATCCAACGAAGATGATGAAAAGGAAGACGACGAAAAGGAAGATGACGATGGCATTTCCAAGAGTTTGCATATTGTACATGTGAAGAGTGCAACTGCCTTTACACAAAGGGAATTAGTGGCTCGTGCCTTTGCAAATGATGACGTTGTCAAAGTAAGTGTTGCTATAAGGGGTACTGTAATTCACTAAAGACGACATGCCCACACCATTTTAATGATTCTCAAACGTCATTATTCATAGGAATTTGAGGCGGATAAACTAGCTACTATTGACGAAGAGGAACCGAAAGGGAAGAATGTAACTTTACCCGGATGGGTGAGTATTGCACATTATAATTGATCCGTCTGTATCAGTACTAAGTGACTTGTACCGCCTTTACTAGGGAACTTGGGGTGGTAAGGGGGTAAAACCATCGAAAAAACCTCCAATAATCTTAAAACCACTTCCAGGCGAGGGTGTGCAGGCTTCAAAGCGTAAAGACGCCAAACTTAAACACGTCATTATAAATGAGAAACGAGTCAAAAAGGTCTGAATGTATTTGCTATCTGACCGTGAATATGCCTACAATTAGTCTAACAATTGAATATCGTCTTTAGGCAACAAGATATTTAGCTACAAAAGTCCCATATCCGTTCGAAACGCGGGAACAGTACGAGGCCAGCTTACGAGCACCTATCGGAAGGGAATGGAACACTCAAGAAGTATACCAAAAGATGATTAAACCGCGTGTGATCACTAAAATGGGTACAATCATTGATCCTTTGACTGCAAAGTTTCGAGATGATGATGGTGATTCAGATTGATGTTTGTAAATATGGAACAATGCAAATTGGTTAGAATCAAATAAGAACTTTTTTTTTTGCTTTCGTTGACCGGATGTTTATCCAAGCACATTGAAATTAAGATCCACGTGAGCAAAAGTACGAAGACAATTAATTAGTTAATAATGTACTAAAAACTAATAAAAGTATACTTATATCAAGTCTTGTGAATGAAATTATCATCATCGAAAGCAAAGCATCAAACAACAGGTGCTCTATAACGTACGACCTCGCATCAAGAGCGCAAATTAGATGCAAGAATGAATTCCATGTACATGGCGCTTTTGATGACAGAAGAACATAAAATAAATAAATGCAACTACATTAAAAAGTTCTGAACGAGTAGGAAAATCGGCGTTAGAAGAGTGATTTGCAAGAAAGTAACTTGCACTGTCTGGCTTGGTATAGTGTTGATAACATAGATGTTACAGCATGTCCTTATTGTCTTATATATGCAATAGTTATATTCTCCCAACGATAGATAATACCCTCTTGCCAAGGATGATGTCAATGATGAGTGTAATAACTGTTCTAAACCCTCTAATTATCATCGGTATAACTTGCGAGTATAAAAAACGTGTCTGTTTCAAGTTGATAGTTGTCACTAGTAACTTTATGTCAGTGCGCATGTTCCATTGCGTTTGACCCATACAGGCAACAGACCCGCCATTATTATTATCATAAGGCCCTTGAATTTGCTCAATGTAATACACCGGTTTCCTAAAAAGATCAATCAGATCAACTTACGTTTTCCTTTGTTTCTGTACTTAACAATATCACTCCGCGTTCACCCAAGCCGCAAGATTGTTAAAATACATGTTAGAATTGGTTAATATGAAGAACGTTTGCTAAAAAGCTTTCACATAATATTATTGTAAACAACGTGGGGCGGGGTCATGCCAAAGGTGTATCCACGATTATCAGGGTTTTACCGTGTGAAACGGTGATTATATCGTGAAAAAGGTTCATGAAAAAGTGATTGTTTCCCTGTTGTCAGGATTGAAGGGCAAAATGACGTATTCCTCTGTGGTACATCTCCGGAGCTGCGACACATCGAACAAACGTAATTGCTGCGTAATTCATGCAGTAACGCAGCAGCGGCAAAATAAAAATCCGTGTTTAAATATATTTATTTCGTTTATTCCCCGAGGAAGTGTAAAACGCCTTTCCGATCTGCGGCGAACTTGCCACCGATTTTACTTGAATTTTTGATATTATTTAATTTGTCACAAACGCGTTTTAGTTTGTTTAATTTAGGAAACTTCCCCGCCCCCTAAGGCTTTTGAATTAATCCCGTCCAAAAAAGTAGACGTAAAATTCGAGGTTAAAATAGCAATCCAGTACAAGACTGATTTTACATCGTGAGTATAAACCAATCGTAAGGTTACTAATTGTCATTAGTAGGTTTAGGACGAAGATAGTCAAGGGTCTCGATTGAAAAAGGCTAAATCTCAAGGCCGGTATACGAACGCTCTCCCGCGTATATTCACACGCACATACACCTGCCAAAAGTATTTGTCACTAATAAAACATAGTAAACCCCTTTAATTTTGGAAATCTGTATGCGTACTATAAATTACAAAGGTGTAAATAGTAATGAAGAGCAGTTCGGAATTTCTGTTACACGGATGATTTCATATGTGCGAACTGCAGTTTTAAAGCAACAATAATAAACGGAATTGAATGGATCATTGTTTCTTTCTAAAAAATAGCTTACAAAAAAATTTTCAAATCGTTATATAATAGACCGGTGCCCATCTTACATGATTTCATACACATTATCGATACGAAAAAAAGATCGTTATATCGAAATCGTTACTTCGCGGTTCGCAGCTTCGTACTATCGCCCACCAGCACGAAGCCCGGAAATTACGCCCCTCGTCCTTGAACGCATTCTTCTTGTTTCGCCGAGATGTTCAAAGAAGTTTAAGCGCCACGCAACCTCGACTATGCAAAACTAATCTCCCGAGATGTGCTACAAAATCAAAGAAACGGGCAACATTACATTGCTACTTATGTTATACAAGTCAATCTATGCACATTTAAAGCTCCCATAAGATGTTAAGCATGAATAATTCTTAATATATTAAGATGTTTGCTACATAATTTGACTTCTTTTTTGGTACCCAGAATAATGGCAGTGGGTTTAGAATGAGATTTGATAATGACATTTCTTATGGAATAATAGTGTTGAGGGTAAAGGAAAGGCAATAAAAACGGCGTTGTAGGTCATGTTTTTTGCGTCAGAACCAAACAGTTTTGATACCATAAAATTTATCAGTAGTTTTGTCCAGGTAGACTCGACTGACAAAAAAAACAAGTTTCACGCTTTCTCGGTCCAACAATATCTTCCTCCATCTATGTATCATTTAGCAGGTTAGTAGCATTGAAAGGACAAGTTCTAATCGTTGTTCGATTGCCAATAGTCCAATCTCCATTAATAAGAACAGCACCCAATTCGAAAATCGGGTCGACCACAAGCTCAGTGTGATATTTATTCGACATAGTCACATAATTTATGTCACAACGATTGGACAAATATCGCTTGTCAGTACGCCACAGGCTTTTAATAATGAAATTTAATAAACCGTTTCTAATGATTGGTTGTTGCTTGAACGACAACACTGACTACATATGCTATTCCCTCTCTTACATGAACACCTTGTTGAACAGTCTGACTGACAGCCACATGTGTTTGACCCTTCACTCTTAACTAGCGCCAGTCGTATTTAGCATGTCTTCCAACTCATGAAAATCTGCTAGTGCTAGCTTAGCATAGTAATAGGTCGTCGACCTGTGCAAATACAGCAACTACCTTTCTCGGAATGTGAGTTGGAGCTCATGAAATGTCCAGCATGTTGTAAATCGTTATGTATAACACAGAACATATTCTCTTTAACACACACGGGTTTTTTTTTACATTTCTTGTTTCACTTCGCCAATTTGCATCACACTACGCAGAATGTATCCAGTGTTTGAACTTCGACACTTTTACCAGATATGTTTAAGAATTACAGGTGAGTCTCGATATAACGACACTGCTATATAACGACATCTCGTTATAACGACAGAAATCTTAGAACGAAAATTTTAT